GATATAAAAGATTTTTGAACAAAACTGATATATCTGAAGAGCCTTAAACACAAATACTGAATTAATTGCTCAGTGGGTGATGGACTTAAGTACTCAAGACATAGATGTTTTCCATTTCTAAAGACACATGATATTTACATAATTTTAAAAGTCTAATAACTCCAATACTTCTCTAATTAGTGAATTATGATAAGGTACCTAAGCCGGGCATGGTGGTATATGCCTGTAATCCCAGCTACCTGCAAGGCTGAGGCAGGAGGATCTGTTGAGCCCAGAATTTCAAAACCAGCCTGGACAACATAGTAAGACCCTGTCTCAAAAGAAAAACAAACAAAAAAAAAACATGAAAAAAATAAGGTACTTTTTAAGTAGGAACGTACCCTTTTTATAATCTTCCAGGAAGCAAAACAAATAATTTCTGCCTTGCGTATGATAACGGTTACTCATACTTTTCTCCCCTTTGCAAAGTGACTGGAAAACGAAAGATCAACCATTGAGTGGACAGCCTAAGCCAGGCACTGGCAAACTTTTTCAGACAGAAAATAGAGAGTAAATACTTTAGGCTTTACAGCCCATATGGTCTCTGTTGCAGCTACTCAACTGTGGCATTATAGTACAAAAGCCCACAAAGACAACACATAAATGAATGAATGTGGCTTTGTTTCAATAAAATATTAAAATTGACCTTTGAACAACGTGAGAGTTTGGGGTGCCAATTCCTATGCAGTCAAAAATTTGCTTATAACTTTTGACAGCCCAAAAACTTAACTACTAATACCCTGCTTGTAGAAAAATGAATTTTAAAATAATGTATATTAATTATTGCAGAGTATAGTTAAATAAACTTTGCTATTTTCCATTGAATATTAGTGTATTAAATTGCTGATATTACCTTCAAGTTTTCTTCACTGTTATTTGCTAAATTGGCTTACCTTTACACTTTAATGGCAGTATATTTTCAGCTTAGACTAAAGTTTGAGTTCTCCTTGTTAACTATAGATATCGTGTTGAAGCGATAATTCCAGAATCAACAGCTAACCTATCTGATTTCCTCTACCAACCTGGAAACAGAATTACTTGGGATAGATCATTGAAGGTGTACAAGATGATACAGAGGATCAATTCGGTAATTTGTTGTTTAATACTGGACTTTTGCTGCATTAATAGGTTTTTAGTTTTATATCTTAGTGAATTGAGTTTATTAAAACTATGTTATGTAGACACAGTATTTTATAGATTCAAAGTGAGTTGAAATCTTTATAAAAGCTTTAAAATTTCCCTCTCATCTGTCAAGAGTTTAATTCTAATTAGCTTTATTCTTTTTGTAAATGCATATTACATTCTGAATCTGGTCAACTCTTCAGATGTGTGCCATTTGTTATGAGGGAACTGAAATCAGAGATTCACCTCCATTACGTGGAAAACAAAGATTGAGCATGCCTCGGTGATGGGAAGTCTGCAGACTTATCTTAGTCATATGATGTTAGATAACAGGAATAATGCAGACACACACCACAGGGATTAAAGAACAAACAGCATGTCATGTCTAAGAGTAAGGATAAAGTATAAAGTAAGGAAAGAACATTATACAGAAGGTTGCAGTTTAGGAACACTTTCAAATACATTATCTCAGTTAAATAGATATGAAGAGGGAGAATAAAATCAAAGAGAAAGGAAGAATATAGGTTATCGGAATAGAAAGTTGAAGATAGGCAAGAGAAGGGAAGAGGGAATATGAGAGGCAAGTAGGGTTAGAAGAAAAGATCAGTATGAGGTGAGGGTAGAGTGAAAGCTCAAGAAGAGAAACGAATGAAATAAGAGTAAAAGAATGATACAGGGTGAAACGAGGTAGAAACAAGGAAAAAGAAGTGAGGTGAGGGATTCTGCACTTTGGTACAGCACACTATAGATCTGTCATTCGTTAAGACCACTATAAAAATAACCACGTGGAAGGAAGGGGTGATAATTCTCCTGTCTTAAGGTCATGTGTTCAAATTTGTTCTCTTTGTTCTCCATTTCTGTTATTGTTTGTGTTTTTCCTTATGAATCTGTTTGTGGGGAAATCCTGACTTTGTTCCAGCCTCTCCCCAGACAAATGTTTATATTCTTTTGACTAATTAATTCATTTCATAAATACTTTTTGAGCACCTCTTGTGAACTGCCTACATACTGTTTCAGGCATTGGGGATACATAAAGAAACAAGACAGAAAATGTCCCTGCTTTCACAGAGCTTATACTGTGGTCAGAAAAGACATAGTAAACTAAGTAAACAGTAGAAAAAACTTATCACATAATGATTAGTATTATGAAGGCCACGATTGAGGAGACTGAGTATTATGAAAGATAACAGTATAGGCAATAACCGGGAGAAGCTAATTTATAGCTAGTTAATTAGGAAGGGTCTGAGTGAGAGACATTTGATTAGAAACCCAAATAACAAAATGGAGGTGAGGGAGATAGATGTGCAAATATCTGGGAGAGAGTAGCAGACAGAAGGGAAAGCAAATGCAAGGTCTTAAGGCTGGAGAGAGTTTGGCAATATTTGGTGAAGAGAAAAACAAGGTCTCTGGGGATTGAACAGAAAGAGCAAGTAGAAGAGTGGTACGAGGTGAAGTTGGAGAGGTTAGGCTAGGATCAGATTCTGCAGGAGTCTCATAGGTCAGGGGGAGAAATTTTATTATAAATTCAGTGGAAAGCCATTGGAGTTTTTTAAGCAGAGGAGTGACTGGCTTGATTTACACTTTCCAGAGACAACTGCTAAAAGGAGTATGGATTGTAAGGGGGCAAGACTGAAATCAGTGAGAACAGTTAGGAGGCTATCTTAGCAATCCAAATGAGACATCATGGTGGCTTGTGCTCGAGTGGTAGCAGTGGAGAGGGAGATAGATCAGAAGATCCAAAGATACACTTTAGAGATAGAGTCAACAGGACTTACTGATGCAGGGAGAGAGGAACCAAAGATGAGTCTTCTAAAACTAGATCGTGGTAAAGGTTGCACAACTAAATAAATTTACTTTAGAAAACTCATTGAACTGTAGGTGAATATATGGTATATAAATTATATGTCAATATACTTCTTAAAAAAATGAATCCTAGGTTTTTGGCTAATAATAACTTCATTAGGAAGAGGTAGGAAATGCGAACGATGGAGTAAAACTAAATTTTATGATTTTCATAAATGATTGAATTTGTTAAATTGCAGATCACTGGGTCTTTGGTTCTTTGAGTCTCCAACCCACATTCCACTCATCAAAACAAACAGAAATAAATAAATGCCCAACATATCT